TCTTGGCCTCACTCAGTCATCACTCTCCAGTCTCACCCACGGGCTCACGGTGTCATGGAAACTAGCCCGGAAACAATGATATGGTAAGCCAATAATAACATTTGAGACTGAGATATGATATGAAATGCATGAATATGACGGAGTACAAACTAACAATGAAATCAGTGAAATGACAGCAAGAAACGACCATTAGGGGTCCCAATAGTATCGGCATGAAGCCCTAACATGACCTCTAGCATGTTTTGCAGCTCAATTACTTTATCACATAATGAAAATACAGATATTAACAAGAAAAAGTCATTAAACGGTGCCATATAATGAATCATGTCATGATTCGCACGGTGCACGCCCGCACGCCCGTCACTTGGCATGTGCGTCACCTCAATATTAATCACATAACACGTTGTTCGGGGTTTCGAATCCTCAGAACCTAGTTTGAAAATGTTACTTATCTCAACCAAGCTAAAATCCTACTCTGCGACGCCTTTGCCTCTCATATCGGCCTCCAAACGTCCCGAATCTAGTCACAAGAAATACAATGCAATCAATATAGGCCAAGGAACCAATTCCACAAGAAAAACTACTTAATTGTACACAAATCCCGAAATCGACTTAAACCGGCCCCCGGGCTCACATCTCGGAATCCGACAAAAGTCACAAAACTCTAAATCACATTCACTCACGAGTCTACCCATACCAATTTCATCAAAATCCGACATCATTTGGTCCCTCAAATCCCCAAATTAGTCTCTTCAAAATCCCAAGCCCTAACCCCTTATTTCACTTCAAAATCCTACTAATTAGGTGGGAAATCAACGGGGAAACACCATAATTAATGATAATAGGGCCCAAGCAACTTATCTCAGTGAATATCCTTGAATCCCCTTCAAAAATCACTCCAAAAGCTCAAAAGTCCGAGTTGAGAATGGTGGAAATGAGCGAAAATTCGCGAAGTCTTCTATTTATTGGTTCTACCCAGGCCTTTCGCACATGCGGCCCAAAATGCACACTTGCAGTCCGCTTCTGCGCAAAAACCTCCGCATCTACGGAAAATCACTTAAATCCCTGGGACAACATCTGCGCCTCACGACTGCATCTGCGATCATGGCAGGTGCGGAAAAAACCTCGCACCTGCGCATCTTCTCTCGCACCTGCACTTTCCTGCCCGCATCTGCGCCTCTCGCAGGTGCGGGAAACACTTTGCACCTGCGTCTCCTGCTCAAGTCCCTTGTGGCCGCATCTGCGGATCCTTATCCGCTCTTATGGGCTCGCACCTGCGGCTCCCACTCCGCAGGTGCGGTTATGACAGCTGAGTTCCAACTTCAGCAATCTCCTCCAATTTGCAAACTTGTTCCGTTAATCACCCGAAATCAACCCGAGGCCCTCGGGACCTCAACCGAATATACCAACATATCCCATAACATCATACAAACTTATTCGAACCTTCGAATCACCCAAAACAACATCAAAACACCAAATTACACTCGGATTCAACCCTAAGAACTTCTAAACTTCCGAATTCCACAAACGATGCCGAAACCAATCAAACCACGTCCGAATGACTTCAAATTTTGCACACAAGTCAGAAATGACACCACGAACCTACTCCAACTTCCAAAAATCCAATCCGACCCCGATATCAAAATTTTCACTTCCAACAAAAATCGCCAAAATTCTAACTTTCGCCAATTCAGGCCTAATTCTACCACGGTCCTCCAAATCACATTCCGGATGCGCTCCTAAGTCCAAAATTACCTAATGGAGCTAACAGAACCATCAAAATTCACATCCGAGATCGTTTACACATAAGCCAATATCCGGTCAACTTTCCCAACTTAAGCCTTCACAAAAGAGACTAAGTGTCTCAAATCCTCTTCGAAACCACTCCAGACCCGAACCAACTGACCCGACATATCATAATATAGCTGAAGAACACAAAAGAAGCAGAAACAGGGAAATGGGGCTATAACTCTCGAAACGACCGGGCGGATCGTTACAAAATTCAAGGGTATACTTGTTTATAATACAAATGCAGTTATGTATCATATTTTATTGATAAAAAATACACACACAAATTCGTACAATTCTATACTCACATAGTATACTCATATAGCATACCTATATACTATATCAGTATCATATTTTGCTTATATAAAACATAGACAAACCAGCACAATTCTATACTCACATAGTATACTGATTTAGCATACATATATACTATATTGGTATTATATTTTACTGATAATAATAAACACAAACCAGTACAATTATACACTCGCATAGTATACTGATATAGCATACTTATATACTATACCAGTATCATCTTTTACTGATAAAAAATACAGACAAACCAGTACAATTCTATACTTGCATAGTATATTGGTATTATATTTTACTGATAATAATAAACACAAACCAGTACAATTATACACTCGCATAGTATACTGATATAGCATACTTATATACTATACCAGTATCATCTTTTACTGATAAAAAATACAGACAAACCAGTACAATTCTATACTTGCATAGTATATTGGTATTATATTTTACTGATAATAATAAACACAAACCAGTACAATTATACACTCGCATAGTATACTGATATAGCATACTTATATACTATACCGGTATCATCTTTTACTGATAGAAAATACAGACAAACCAGTACAATTCTATACTTGCATAGTATATTGATTTAGCATACATACATACATACATACATATATATATATATATATATATATATATATATATATATATATATATATATATGTGTGTGTGTGTGTGTGTGTGTGTGTGTGTGTGTGTGTGTGTGTATATATATCATCTTTTACTGATAAAACACAAACACAAACTAATACAATTCTATACTTACATAGTATACTGATATAGCATAGTGATACACTGTATCAGTATCATGTTTTACTGGTCAAAAAACATATACACAAACCAGTAGAATTCTATACTCACATAGTATACCGATATAGCATCCTGATATACTATATAGGTATCACATAGTTTTTTACTTTGAAAAATGCTGACGAACCTTCTTGGGCATGATTTATTAACCTGATATTGACATTTTTCTCTAACGGCATACTGTTTCATAACGAGAGCCAGCAGGTTCTTGTCTTTCAAAATTTGTCCTTTTTCAACTTTTTGATGAAATTGATCAGCTATGATTTTTGCATCATCAAGTTCTACACTAGTTTCATCTCCTTCTTGCACATCAAACGTAGTAATCATATCACTGCTTTTAAATTGTGCAATTTCTGATGAAATTGTAGCAACATCGAAACTGGAGGTGCTTGCAGCTATAGTATTTTTAGCAAACGACACACATAGTGGGAGTGTTGTCATCCCTGCACTTGATTTTTCCAATTCCATGTAAACACTAACACTCACCATTTTTTCCTTTGTCTATTGACTGAGTTCCCCTTTTTAGTTTGCCTTTTCCAATATGTGAGATATGGGGATGAAGCTCCGAAGCAGGAGCTAGCCTTCAAACGCGGGCGGAACTTCACTCTTTTTTAAGAGAGCTGCCTACGCTGCAAATTGTAATTGGTGGATATCCTTGAGCAATAGCATACTGAATAACTATTGTGTTACTGCCCTTTTGTAGTTGCTTTGCAATTTCTCTGAGAAATTGTTCAAATTTCCAACAGGTCTTTATTAGAATTGCATCAACATGAAAGTTTATGAAATTATGGTTTTCATCCCATTCTCCACTATGCTGCAGCAGAATTGGTATATTTTCTATGATTCTGAAGTTATAACTACTTTTATGTCCAAAATTGAATCTCGACAATGCTTTCAACAGTGTTGATGTCAAATACTAAATTTCAACAAAAGATTTTTCGAAATCAAATCAGCATTTATGATTCAAACCTCCAGATCTCCAAACCGAGAACATAATTTTCAGCTAAAAATTCAGAAGTTTGAGTGCTCAACTTCTGTAATACTTATAATTTATGACACCGTGCTCTGCCAGCGAAATCAAAATCGGAAAAATAAGATGCGAATTTGAGCATCAAAAGTTTTAGCATCTTCCAAAGTCAAATTAGTTACTTCTACAAAATTTAAGGAGAAAAACTCTAATTTTAAAGAGAAATCAGAATCTTCGCTCTGTTTTTTCACACTTCTGATCTTCAAATTAGGGCTGCGATCTTCAAATCTTCAACGGATGCTAGTGAAAATCTCAATTTTTGTGCGCTAATTTTCTGAAATTTTGAGCAGCTTTTGCGTTTTTATTGGTAGGGCATTAGCGTGGGGTAGTTATTTTGAGATACTTGTTTGTTTATTAAATGGGTAGGGGATTGTAATTATTTAATGGGTAGAATTCTTTTATGGGTAGAGCAGAATAAATATTTTAACTTTTATAGGTACTCTTGTCTTTTTCCCCCATTTTGTTGTGAGGTGCTTAACTCCTCCCCTATAAAGGGTTTAATAAAGGTCTTGAAATAAACAAGACATTCGATTGACCAAAGAGTATACCTTTAACTCTCTTGACCACCAAAATAGAAAAAGAAAAAGATTACTTATCTTCGAAGGCTAACATCAATCTTTCTGATGAAGATTTATTATATGTTGTTAGCTTTCCTTTCTATGTCATTATATTAATCATTACAAGTTATCTCTCAAATTTTCTCTATTACGAAATGTGAAAGAGATTTTGTGCATTAGAAGGAAGAACCATGTGAGAGGAAATTGTAACTTGGGTTACGTTTAAGAAAGTCAAATCTAATATTCAAAAACAATCAAAAGAAAAACAGAAGCTTCTTTCATTTTTCTCTATTTTAATATTTTAACGTCAAATATAATTGATCTAAACAAGAGATATTATACAACATGTCCAATTCAAGCTATAGGCCAATGGCATATGGAATTCCTAGTTCATCTTTTTTGCTATTATTTCCCCCCTGAGAAATCTTAGACATGAGAAATCTACATCTCTAATTTTTTTTAAAATTTTTTTTTTTAAAGATTTTATCAGAACTATGGGCTTTTCTGCAGCTGAATTGCCACCCCCTCTTTCTTTGATTGCCATTTTCGCGATTATCATTGTGTACATGGTAATTTGTTACCTCGTTCTTGATCTAATTGATCAACAACAAGGTGATACCAACGATGAAATTTCTCGAGCCTCGGGGCTATCTGTTGAAGAGTTGAAAGAGATAAGTTGTTTCTACATCAAAGGACAAGCAAATTCAACGTGTGCTATTTGTTTAGATATTCTTTGGGATGCAGAATTGTGCAGAAATTTTCCAACTTGTAATCATGTGTTCCATGCTCAATGTATTGATCCTTGGTTAGCCAAAAAACCAACTTGTCCAACTTGTCGAACGCCATTTAGGCCACAGTTTTCATTCTTACAGTAACTCCAAGGCTTACATTATTGGTGGCAGGGACGGAGCCTGGATTTCAAGCTTATGGGTTCAGGATTCTAATCCTTTTAAGTTTACTGATTTGTAAATTTATAATTTATATATATTTAATTGATTTTTAAGACAAATACTTCGAACCAAAGCTATTGAATTCGGCCAAACCTATTCCCAACATTCTAGTTCCGCCCCTGATGGGCGAGAGTCTTCCATACAATCGGTGTGAGTTTAATACTCACTGTCTCCGTTTCCCCGACCAGCCTAATGTGATAGAATTTTTTTTGTAAAAAAGAAAAACATTCATATACTGTTACGTGTAGCATTCCTATTCAGAAGATGAATTCATGAATATTAGGCTGAATTTTAGACTTTGGAATGCCCTGTTTCATGTTTTAAATAAAGAGTACACAATTACTTTCAACTACTGCAATTAATTCAAAGAGATTATGGTTTCAATAATTCTACTTTTGCGATTTATCTAGTCAATCACACATCAATGGGTGAAATGGAGGTTTGGGCAATGGCAAAGTCAAGATTTTCACTAAGGTGTGTCAAAATATAAAAAATTAAACACTGAAAATCTAAGGATTCAACGTATAGTAAATATGCATAAAATAAAAAAAATTTACCTAGTGACACAGTGTAATTGCCGGCGAAGGGGTGTCCTTGGTTATATGTGGCTTCACGGAAATCTATAGATCATAGTAGTTCGCCAACACCGTTGTTAGCATGTTAGCACGAGAGTGGACCAGGGAATCGAAAATGTGTTTGGGACGCACGGGGCATAAGGGCATGTATACAACATTCAACAACATGAATTAGAGGCAAAGCATAATGTAGAGTTAGTAGTTCGAAAATGAGTGTAATCTTATTATATGTATACATTTTAATTTTTTTTCCCACATATATATAAATCGAGCCGAAAGCAATAACAAGTTCAAGCCGAATCCACATAAGTTTGCGTGCCAGTTAAACAAATATACAACTGTTTTACAGACATAGGCACATAGCTTAGAGCTATTTCTTGGACTTGGATCTGCTAATTCAAATGAAACATCATTTATTATCATTGATGAAACATTCAACAACCTCCGGTATGGCATGGTGCTCAATGATTTCTTTTATTTATTATTATTTGTTATTTTTATAAGAGCATGGAGCTCTATGCTATATTAAATTTTCTGAATATCTTATCTAAGCAATGGGTTTTTCTGCAGCTGAACACCCATCCCCTCTTTCTTTGATTGCCATTTTCGCGTTCATCATCGTGTACTTGGTAATTTCTTACCTTGTTCTTGATCAAATTGATCAACACGGAGATTCCAACGATGAGATTTCTGCAATAGACTCTTGTGGCTCGGGATTATCTGTTGAACAAGTGCAAGAAATCAGTTGTTACTACCTCAAAGGACAAGCAAATTCGACATGTGCCATCTGCTTGGATAGTCTTTGTGAAGCAGAATTGTGCAGAAGTTTTCCAGCTTGTAACCATGTATTTCATGCTCAATGTCTTGATCCTTGGTTAGCTAAAAGACCAATTTGTCCAACATGTCGAACACCATTCAGGACATAGTTTTCATTGCCAGAGTAAGAAACCATTAGAAGGCACAAACACATTGGGCCGAGGCATAAAGGCGTTTACAACGACAACTGTTACAACATTCACCAGCATGAACAGATACCAAAATGTAGAGCCAGAGGATATGAAAATGAGCTCAATCCTTTTATATGTAAATATTTTGATTTTTTTGAATATGTATACATAGTTCGAGGTAAAAGCAATGAGTTCAGCTGAACCCAAGGAGAGCATGAGAGCTAAACTATAACAGTTGCATAACATACATAAACACACAGCTTCTTCAGCAAATCATAGACTTGGATTTATCAATTCAAATACCACAACTTTAATTATTGATAAACCTCAACAACCTCTGGTATGGCATGGAACTCAATGACTAGCTCTGCTATGTTATGGTCAACTTTTATCTCAAAATCAACATTAGAATGGTTGAATAGTATCACGAAAACAGGATTCTTGTCTAAATCAACCACTCCACCCCAATTTTTTATTTTTTGTTGCTCGACGGTTATCATACAATGTGCTATAGCTTGAGAGATGGCAAATTCTATCAGGAAGTGCAACTATCACAGGCCTGATAACACTTTTTAGCAGCATTTATAAACTTAATATAACGAATATTCTTCTTGCAAAAGTCCACCTTAGGAGTTTAGCAAAGGCTCCTGCCTCTGACAGTACCAAGCAGAAGTTACAATATTTACCTATACATAATATGTGTTGTGTGTGTGTGTGTACACTAAAAGCATACTCATCCTGAACAAGGTTGGATGTACTAAAGAAGATATGGGTTCATCTGAACCCAATAGCTTTAGCGCAAACCGTGTAATATGCATTAGAAATCCGCTAAATAAGTACAAATAATAGATTCCTAAACCAATAAATCAAATGATTCTAGTAGAATTTTGAACTCGAACTCATAATGTTCAAATCCTAGATCCTAAATTCGACCTCTTAATTTGTCAGAACATGTGCGCGCGCGCACTCACATAGTCAGGATCTCATAGATAGATCAGCAATACTAGTCAAGAAATTACTAATACATTGTTGCAAATTTACCTGAAAATATCATAACCTGCTGAATGATAGAACATCCGTTTAGGCAAAGTAGCCTTATCCGTTAGTCTTCTCACATGTAAGAATGATATGTAACTCTAAATTGCTCCAAACAGATCAGCTCCGTTTTGGACAGCAAATTTTGTGATTTTTTCCATTGGCCATCAGTAAAATTTACAGAACCAGAACTGCAGATGCTGGAAGAAGAGTGAACAAATTGGTCAATTTAGACCACTCTCTTATTAACTCCAAATTAAAGAAGCTACTCCACTTTTGACTGATTGATCAATGATTGTTGTATTCGTTAGAGGATTGTCGTATCTGTGTGAGCGGTTTGAAGTTGATTCAAGATTCCTTTTTATGCATTGAGTATTTGAAATTGATTGATCCGACTAATTCGGATTCATGTTGTGTTGTGTAGGACATAACAAAGAAAAGTATCTCTTACCAGGAGGCAGGAGCTTTTCTATTTTCAAGACTCGAGCTCGATCGAGCTATTTGGTTAATGTGGAGAAATATCATCCATCTGAGCATACTCCTAGTGGGGGCTTTTGGCTCGATTTGTTAGCTTTTGGCTCGATTTGTTTCTGATTTAATAGGATACAAAAGCAAGTGATCACAAAAATCCCAAATACCCCCCTTGAACCAGCAGCATTTAGATTACAATACTTAAAGCTACAAATAAAATGCATATTACCGTGAAAAAAACACTAGTTCATGAAACAAGTCCTCCAGGATGGAATTAAAGTAGGATAAAGCATAGAACTTACTCTCAGTAGATTGTCTATAATAGTACATCAAGCAGCTAAAGCAAGCTACCGAAGAGTAAAGCTAAACCACTCCCTTCAACTGTCATCTTCAACCATTCCCTCTTTTACATCAAGTGCGAAAGTATATTCCTGATCACAACCTAGATAAGAATCACACATGAAATAGAGTGTGTACGTCCTCGTTCCAGCTTCCGCAGGGGCAGCAAAATCAAGCTTGATCCTTGACTTCCTTTGCAGACTAACCCTCTTAATAGCTAATAATTGGTTGCTCTTCGTATCTCCAACAACAAGCCACCATCCTTCTTCCTTGGCTTTAGGATATCTAGGCGCAAACACAGGTCCAACCTCTGTTCCACCCTCAAGATCTCGCTCAAGAGTCACCTGTAAACTCACATCATCTCCTGCTCTCACGTTACCACCATCCAGCACATCATATGTCAAATCAATGTTTGGGAACCGGTTACAGAAACGGGCAATATCCATAAGCTGTAGCTCTGACATCTGCAAGAGCTCATGCCTCTCGTTATCTTCCATCTCCATTAAATCAAACACAGTCTCTATACTCTTCCCCGGATTTTCTTAGCACTTCTTAGCCAATTCCTTTGTGAAGTGTGGAAGTTGGAGAAGCATAGAGTCACGCTCCCACATTCCCTGAGTGACCATCTGGCTCACTTCCATTGCTAGAAGTGCCAGATTCAGCCATCCGTTACTGGATATTACATCAACCATTGCCAGGAGCAGCCTACTAGCAGAAAGAAGTACCTCTTGCTGGTCAGAAGCTAGATTCCCACGCACCATTTGCCTGGAGAAGTGAGCTTGCAACAGAGCATTAGCCTTGACATGAGGGTCTACATATTTGGGATTCTCAAAAGAGAAGCGCTGATGATTAATTAATCTTCTTATCAACTCCTCTTCGCCAGGTCTTATCGGTAGCTGTTCATACTCCGATGCTGAAGCCAAAATTTCAAGCAAGCCCTTCAACTTCGTTTTGGAGGTCAAAGAAGAGCTAAAACGTTCTATCGTAGAGTAACTGATGTAATAATATGATGCAATCATGCCAAGATTCAGGGGCGAAAGCAAAAAGTCATCTTCCACAGTAACACATTTGCTCGACTCCAAGTCACCCAGAGTATTCTCCACCAGCTCCGAGAGGTGATCTGAAAGATGTCTGTGACTAATACCCTGCAAATTATAGTAGTTTGGATTCTGAGTTATCCTTCTGTACATGAATGTCCATGTAAGGTAATCTACAGCATCCTGCTTGTTCTGAATAACACCAACAACCACCTCCGCATTGAAATTGTCGATGAGATAGTGTTGCAAATGGCTCTCCACTGGGAACGCTTCGTATAAGAACTTCTTGTAGTAGTCCTTGCGTGGTGCATGGCAGAGGATGACACACTTCCCCGAGCTATCGACGAGAGGTCGACTGGCATGACCCATCATCTGCAACAAATCACTCACTGGATAATCACTGTGCGCATTTTCCCTACCATCATAGTACTGAGTTCCCATAACCACCACCAGATGGGCAGAGAGGGGCACTCCCCAACACATTGTGCTGCTCATTACACATACTTGAATCCATCCAGTTTCAAACAATGTCTTCACTATATCCTGATCTGTGCCAGACAAGCCTTCGTGCAAGTAGCCAACACCATACTTAAGTGTCTCTTTTAGCATGGGCTCGTTGATCCTCTCCACAAAAGGCTCTAGCTCCGCTGACTGCAGCAAAAACATGGGTGTTTCTTCACTGTCCATGTCTGAGTAAGTCATCAGATCCACTGCAGTGAGGCGTGCATGCTTCCTCGTGGGGGCATACACTATTGCTGGTTTTCCCATCCTTGCATGCTGTACTATTGCTGTGTACATGGGTTTTGTCATGGCTTGCATCCTAGCCTCAAAGTTTGCAATATCGACACCCTGAATATGTATTTCCAGCGGCACGGGCCTTACACCCGGAGAAAAGTTGAAAAGACCATGAGCCGTAGCCCCAATCCATTCCCCCAAATCCTTGGCATTAGCCAGAGAAGTCGACAAAGCAACAACTCGAATCTTGCTCTCGACCTGGCTTGAGATATATCGCATCCGAGAGACAATCACCTCCAACACAGGACCGCCTTGGCCACCAATCAGGTGCAGTTCATCGACGATAAAAAGACTTACTTGCTGAACATACTTTCGTTGTTTCCAGCGACGAGATAGGAATCCCATTTCTCAGGCGTACTTATAATTAACTGACCCTTCTCTAACAGTTTCAAATCAGTTGCTGTTTCCCCAGTTAATTCAACCATTCTCATTCCAAGAGAATCCCCGAATTTCTTCTTCCAATCACTGTAACGCTTCTTAGCAAGGGCCTCAAGGGGAGCAATATACACTGCACGTAAGATACTATCAGGACTTTTCTGATGATTCCTCAATATGGAAAATTCAGCACAAATTGTCTTCCCACTACCAGTTGGAGCTGCGACCAAGACGTTGTCATCTGAGTTGTACAAGACAGTAAAAACCTGAGTCTGAACAGGATTGAAATGCTTAAAATCTTGATAAAGTGCTTCATAGGCTGAATTCCTCAATGCAGTAACTGGCAGAGATTGCAAGTCTAGTAACTCCGTGGGAGGAGGATACTTCTCTGGTAAAATCAGGTGCCGGAAAGAAACTGGTAAAACAGTTTGGGACCCTAGCCATCTGTCAGACACAACATGGATGAAGTATTGAGGAGGCAATGGTTCATAAATTGGGACTGTGAAGTTCAAAGTATGGTCCTCATCAATGTACTGCTTCTTCAGCATGAAGTATTCATGATGAAGAATATAGTCCCCATCATTATTTTCCACAAAAATCCAGAAAGGTTCCACATAACCATGGACCTTGTCCTCCCACTGGAAATCTGGTGTAATAGTCAATTCTACCCTCAGAACCGAGCGGGTAATTGGCTGAATATGTGCTGCAAGGTTGAGCTTTGGAAACTGATGAATGAACTTGTGAAGTGTTCTTCCCATCTTTGGAAAACGGATAAGTTCCCCAACTCTTGTGATGAAAGATCATAATACCGCTCCCAAGCCAAATCTTTCTTCTCCAATTTCATCAAGATTCCATTTGGGATGCCGTTGAATTGGCGAAGTGGTGTCTGCACACGCCACATCCTCTTACTTATCATCTTGCACCATT